TTTCTCATCCATACAGTAGGACAAAGTGAACTGCAGCTCAATACACTCATCCTTTAGTTGGTAGGTGGATATCTCGCCTACGCCAAAAGCGATACAAGTTGGCAAAAGCCAGCACAGATGAGACTCCCAAGATAAGTGAAGCGGTCAATACGCGATGGCCGAGTAGTTAAGGCGTCGGACTCGAAATCCAATGGGGTTTCGCCGCGCAGGTTCGAATCCCGACCGTGGCTGCTACATTGACGTGGCGGTCGGGCTTGCCTATCGTGACGACCCAACCGAGCTATACTGACTGTGACATATGTTCCTGAAGGTTCTACCATGCCAGGCAAGTCGATTGGAAAACAATGAGACTAAAAGCAGCTACTCAATGTATGAAGGCAAAGTCGTACTCTGGTGCGAGCTACTTGTAAGTAGTATATGACGTGAGTGTCAACGTAATGTCTGGCAGAAGAAGATGGGGGAAGATCAAGAAAGGAAGAGTGGGAACACAATGGAATTTGTATGAAACGCATGAATAGTGACAATGGATTGATGTTTTGCAACAGGAACAGTCCAGTTCGAGATGATGGACTGATATTTTGCAAATTAACGACTTACGAAATGGTTTTCATATTTTACTGAGTAACTCTGTAATTTTCTTTAAATACAATCTGGTTGCCCCACCTGTGTTCTCCTTCACTACAGTACCACCACACCTTATCCCACGGATTTCCGTCTCCGACGGCAATGCCACTTGAAGAGCGCGGCTAACACCTTACAAATTTCCCATAAAAAGGCTGTACGTGATCTGCGGTCACGTTCCCAGATCTTTAAGACCAACACTAATCTACCTTCCTTTCTAGGTTCCTCAAGAAACAACCTTCCACGGTGTGGGTAGCCGGGAAGTGACAACCGCCCTCATACCCGTAACAGCACGCGAGACCAAATTGGTCAAAATCAAATCCTTACTACACCCCCTAATATCTCTCTTATCTCTACGACTAAATCTAGTCGCATTCCTTCATCTCACTGCATCACTAATGCAAACGGTGCGAATTCACGAAACGTCGTTCCTGGTTTCCTTAAACCCCGTTCCAAACTACGTGTTGGAGCATTTAATGTACGGACATTGTGTCAAATAGGGCAACAGGCTCCCTTAGCTAGGAATTTAGAATCTCGCTTAATCGATGTGTGCTGCGCCTCGTAAACGCGCATACAGGATCCTAGTAAAATCATTAATTTTATTTCACGTTATTAAAATAAAGAAGCATCCCGATTTAATCTTCGTGTATCCGGTAGCCCTGATGCTGCTTCCCGGCGTCTCACCGGTGTAGGTATAGTAGTGAGTCGTAGAGCTGAACAATCTTTCCTAGACTGGTTCCATGTAGATAGTCGATTGTGCGCTGTCCGACTGAACGAGACAGTAAGGATTCGGAAAGATAGGGACACTCATCGTTGCCTCTTCGTCGTATCTGCCTATGCCCCCACTGACCGCAGTTCAGACGATGTTAAAGATGAGTGTTACAGAAAGCTTTCGGACCTCCTCCAATAAGCTAGGCAATCTGATGTAGTAATAATGGCTGGTGACTTTAATGCTCAAGTAGGTAGACAGGGTGAAAAGGAAAGACATCTAGGTGGATGTTATGGTGTCGCAGCTCAGAGCCTGTTGCAACTATGCTCAGATAACCGCCCATTCTTAGTAAACACTAACTTTAGGCATAAGACAAAGCATCTCTTGACCTGGCGACCTCCAAAGTCGTCTCAACGTTGGACTCAACTAGATCACATTGCCACCAGCCACCGATGGAGGGGTTCGATAGAGGACTGTCGCTCGTTCTGGGGTACATGTTTAGATTCAGATCATGCCCTAGTTCGACCTCGTATTTGTTTGAGGCTTACTGGACGTAGGAAAGACACCGTAAGAAAGCCTCTTAGGGTTTTACTTAATGATAATAGGGCGAAGAATATATTTCAGGAACAACTAGAAAGACAGTTAGGCGACCACTTAAGCGATTCCCATCCGGAGGCAGGTTGGAATGATATTAAAAAGGCTGTGGAAACAGCAGTGATATCTGCTAGTAAGGTTGACCATAAGGCTAGGATGAAGCCGTGGATCTCAGTAGCATCCACCGATCTGATGGATGCTCGAAAACTCATCCCACCTGGCTCAAAACATGATGAAGAACGAAGTCAGCTTAGGCGCAGGCTGATAAAAAGCCTACGTAACGACCGTGAACAGTGGTGAGTGGCGAAAGCAAAAGCGATGGAAAAGGCAGAGGCGATAGGCAACAACAGACAGTTTTACCGACTTATCAAGGAAACTGGTATTAGGAACCCAAATGTGAGTGAAACTATCTCGGAAAAGGATGGTCTTATTATCCATTCTCAATCCAGGAGACTGGATCGATGGGCAGAACACTTTAGGGATCAGTTCAACTGGCCTCGAGCCACTCTTCGGTTACCCACGATCTCCAGTCATCCTGAATGGCAAATCGACCTAAGTCCCCCTAGGCTTCATGAAGTTGAGAAAGCGTTAGGAAATCTGAAGCGACGGCGAGCTGCAGGTCCTGATAGACTGACCGCTGAAATGTTTAAAGATGGTCGTCCAGTTTTAGCAGCTAGGTTGACTGAGATCTTAGGTAGAATCTGGGAACTGGACATAATCCCATCCGAATGGTCTCAATCACTGATTGTCCCAATCTATAAGAAAGGACAAAAGTCTTCTTGTGACAATCACAGAGGAATAAGTCTAACTAATATAGTATCTGAAATATTGGCCTCAATAATACTTCGACGCTTAACGAAAGCTCGTGAAGAACAAACTCGAGAAAACCAGGCTGGTTTTCGACCTGGACGTGGTTGCATAGATCACATCTTCACACTACGACAGGTCCTGGAACATAGACGCACATTTAGACGTCCTACAATATTTGTTTTCCTGGACCAAAAAGCGGCATTTGACTCTGTTGATCGTGAGGTTCTGTGGCAGTGTCTGTCATTGAAAGGTGTACCAAAGAAGTAGATTAACCTTATACAAGCTCACTACTCGAACACCACTGGTCGAGTGAGGGCTTATGGCGAACTGTCACCGGAATTCTTCACTTCAAGTGGTGTCCGTCAGGGATGTCCACTCTCTATTATGTTTAATATTATCATTGACATGCTCCTAGATATAACCTTATCCTCGTCTGAATTTTCAGGAGTCGACCTTCTACCAGGAAGATCGCTTACTGACCTAGAATATGCCGATGAAATAGTCCTACTTGGTGAAGACGCTGACAAAATGCAGTCTTCTGACCGCCCTAAGCAACAATGCGAGCATGTTCGGGATGCGGTGTTCCCCCTCGTAATGTTGCTTCAGGATTGGGTCGCATCGGCACCTGAACTAGTGATAGGGAGTGACGTAGTCGAGCGTGTAGACCGCTTCACTTATCTGGGGAGTCTCATCAGTGTTGATGGCCTGGTGACTGACGAAATCTCAGCTCAGATACAGAAAACTCGATTGGCTTTTGCCAACCTGCGTCACTTATGGCGTAGGCGTGATATCCGTTCTCTAATCAAAGGACGAGTGTACTGTGCAGCAGTTCGCTCCGTTCTCCTATAAGGATGCGAAACATGGCTGTTAAGAGTAGAGAACGTTCGTAGGTTACTAGTCTTCGATCATAGGTCTATCCGAAGCAATGCTCGTGTATCCTGAGACGACCGATTAAGCAATGCTATAGTTAGGAAAAGAGTTCTAGGTAAGGATGGCAAATCAATGGATGAAGTGGTGAAACTACATCAGTTGAGGCGGTTGGGACATAAGTTACGAATGCCTAACCACCGACTGCCTCGACGAGCTAGGTTTTGTGGTGTAGGAGTAGGTTGGAAGAAAGTTAGGGACTGCCAGACCAAAGCATGGCACAAATCCATGAAGTCATTGACTAGTGGACTGAGCCGTGTCGGTAATTGTCGACTACCTGGTTGGGGTCCACGAGATGATAATAATCGATGGCTAGAGACCTTGAATGACATGGCTCAAAATTGTTCGCAATGGCGCCGGTGCATTTATTCTTTGTGTTCTCTCAAACCCTAATCTTCTGGATTCTTCAACACCTCTAGTTTCGACTCTCTAAACTTTTCTCACTGAATCATACTTCTTGAATAGTATCTTCTAACCCTAACCTCTCCGATTACTTCTAATTCCCTTACTACCTCTACTACTATTGGATTTGAATTGACAATTATATCTCTGTGCTGATGTGGTATGGAAACATGAACTGATGTACTTACGTACGAAGTTCTACGTTGCATCTGACTGACTGACTGTACTCCTTGAGTTTCAAAATCACCTTACACTCCTTCCTCCCATGAATTCACTTCCAAATCATACCCATCACTAAACTTCCCTACCCTACCACCAGTGACATTGCCACCCTGATATATATATATATATATATATATATATATATATATATTGGTAATCACACCACGCTAAATTAGTGTGCTGCAGCTCAGGCCAACGCACATATGCCATCATACGTTAATGACTAGTGAATGAGTCGAATATAGTCTCACCGTTCTCCAACTGACCTGGTTAACATGGTAGAACCTACAGGAACATATTTTCCAGCCAATATAGCTCAGTTGGGTCATCATGACAGGCAAGCCCGACCAACACATCCAGGTAGCAGCTACACTCAGGTTATGGATAGCTAGTTGACGGAATGCCAAATAATATAGTTCAATACATGGACATTTGGTCAATTATAGACACGTTGCTCAACCATTATTTTCGATAGACATTCTACATTCAAATAAACCGACTTAGAGGGTTTATGGGTAAAAAGACGTGTACATTAGGGAGATTTAGCAATTCATCAGTCCAAGCCATAATTCTATGTTCGGAATCAACTCACAAAGCCCCTCATACTCTTGGGGTGTTCCCTTGTCCAATAATTGCTTTTTACTATTTTCTGGCAAATAAAAATTCGATCTCCAGTCAAGTGATACAAAGCATACCGCATGTTAAAAGTCCCATATATAACAAGTTTTAGTTTATTTGTAATGGTTTATTGGAATGAAAAATATACATGAAAATTGGGGGTTAAATTAATTGTCTTATATGACGTGAAAAGTATAGTAACAGATGCTTTCATAAATCAAAATTCAACCAAAAGTTTGGATCCATCATTTGAAATTAAAAAGCGCTGTCAAAATCATCAGACTTTACCACCAGATAAACCAAAAAAAAGATGGTTGCAAACATAAGCGTATTTGCCGATAACGTAAGTGCACAAGCACCCCAAAATATCTACAAAAATCAAATTATTCTTTTTAAACTTACGAGAGGATTGTTTTTAGGAGCTCGCGCAAACAATATGGGTAGTGCATACGCTGAAAATACTACGACTGTAGTCAGGAAAATACTAACATCCCCAAATGAATGGCCTTCCTGACAATTTTTAGCAATTAGTAATGGTATTGGCGCTATTACGTAAAATATTAGCATGAATAGTGGCCACCAAACACTATAAATGAGTAAACTACAGTGTACATATGTTACTTGTATTGAGGTAGCGCACAGGCTAATAGTAAGAGTGTAAATGAAATCGACCCAGAAAGCGAAACAAAGATCACGGCTTTAAACGGTACATTAATTATAATAGCGTAATAGTAACGTACTTCTAAGCCCTGTCATTGAATTCCTTATAGCTGCAGTACGACCTAGGATATCAAAAAACCCGCAAAACAAAAACAAATATCCAACATCAATTTGCGTTTACCGATTCAGACAAAAGGAAACATTCCAAGTCAGGACCGCTGTGTGATAGGTCTAGCTGTCTCGGTTAACTGCTTTCTTCATGGTTGCTTCGAAAGTATATACACAGTCACTCGCAAACACAGGACTTGTGGAAAACTTACTGTATCCACGCGAAGCTGTTACCTAGACTGTCAAAGGTAGAGTTGCAATTTTAAGAGACTTTCAGGTTTATTCTTTCATATTTATATTTGTTAATATTTTCCTCCTTTCTTCTTGTCCAATAATCTCATTTTTCATCTCCAAATTTCTCATGTATCGTATTCATTAATTCCCTTGCTACCACTTCTTACAATATAACAACCAGGAAAACCAGTCAGGTATGAATTCCGAGGTTAGTAATGAATCTAAATTCGCGATCTCGAATGACAGGGTTGTAAAAAAGCTAAAAATGTCACGCGGTAGCGAATTCACGGAGCAATGTTGACAATACGAATCACTCGACTCAAACACATTAAGTGCGTCTCCAACATAGAGACTGAGATGACACTCCTCAGATTCCCACTCCAAGAAAGACTAGTACAAAAAATAAGTGTTGGAGAAAAATATGTCCTAATGCTCAACCGATACTGTATATCATTCAGAAATCACACGACTATAACTGTATCAACTGCTCAATTCCGGTCGACAGCAATGACTCTGCATTTAAATGCAACTTCTCCAGTACATAGGTTCATTGTCACTGCGAAACTACAGTATCTAGAGGGCACCACTGGTTCAAGTTTAGTCACCCCCGTCCTTGGTTCTGGCATATCTGTCCACAGTGTACAATTATCCAGAAAACAAAAAATTAGCATTGGTAAAGCGGCATGCCCCACTGAAAATCAACTTACAAATCAACACAGGTAATATAACTTGCCCAACACTAAACCAACGAAACAGGCGACAAGAGTAATCATAATCCGAACCAACACACCGACAAAATAGCTGGTTGTTGTGAGCCTCTCAGTATCTGCTAACAGTACGGAGCATTGGGTGAGTGTGGAAAAGGAAATGCGCAAAGCCACAACTCGCAAAATGTTACAAATCAGGGGCAGGGATGCTAGACACAATTCACAAATTTTATATAATGTTCCGGTGTGGAAGGTTAACTGTCTATAACACTGAACGATGGAACAAGTACTGCGCAATCCTAGGAATGAGAAGTACCCCTGCCAAAATATGCCGTTTTCTCAAAAGTCACAAAGTCGTAAAAAGGAAACCGTATTCATACAGGGTAACCCTGGTAGTCACCTCGGCAACCAGCATCTCCCGGCTGCCTCGTCCGTCACTCATCATGAACATCAAGTCACCATATGTGATGACTCTGGATTCCAGAAATCGAGAAGACCTAATTGAGGGGCTTCAGACTTAGTACAGCAATAAGAACAATGTCTGTAGCCATATTAGGTGTTGCGAGTGCCAACCTAGATCTGTAAGAAAAGAAAAAGGAGGCACACACAAGTGAAAGTTGACCTCGATCAACGACCCACGCCACAAGACACGAAAACCATAAAGCCTGCAGAGTCCATTTCCCAAAGAACTGGCCAACTCGGTTTGGGCAGCTTGTTTTAAAATCCAACAATGGCTGTTGCTACTGAGGCGCACCACGTGCCTCCATAGCAATGTAAGAGGACCAAGAGGCAAGCTGTTATAAATCAGGAATATGTGCTCTCAGATGGATTTGAAGATCACAATCCGAACTGAAACATGGCTATTCCCCCACATCACAGACAACAAAGTGAGATTGAAAGGTACGACACTTTTATGAAGCTATAGGGTATATCAGTCAAGAGGCGGAGTGGCTATATATATTATTCCAAAAGACTATACGGCACCCAATTAACGGATGTTACAGAATCATGATGGTGTTGTTTCAATAAAAATGGCACGAAATACTCAACTGAAGAAATTTACTGGAACCCCTCGAGCACGAAGTCCCAAGAAGATAAATTAACTGAAGCTAGCCCTCCTTAGGTTTGGTCAAAACTCTTAGCTGCATATTTCAAAACTCCATCTCTAAATCTCAGCAAATAGGTACAACTCACACCGGTTCGTTCCAAAGACGACCTGGCGCAGTCATTAGATTTCCTGGGATAAATGGTCATGTGTGCAGCGCCACTAGATGGGCTAAGATTGGAATGACAAATGATCAGCTCCTGGGTGAGGATGTCCACGTCCATACTCCAATAGGATGTAGTGACCGTGGTACTATCATAGTTAATATGGTCATAAACGGAACACAGACATGACTAAAACAAGCCCTGCCTTTGTTACACTAGGGCAAATTACGCGTGCATGAGAGCAAATCTTCCACATGTTCCATGGCCACGTGACTGTGGAGGTTAGTAGTAGATTATCACTGGTAAACAGTGCGAATCGTCGTCCAGAATGCTCTCCTAAACAATGTACCATAGGTATACCGCACGCCTGGAAAGAGAAGAACTTGGGTTAAAAGAGACACAGAACGCTTTCTACGTACAAAAAGGTGAGCCTGGAACAACTGAAAGGTCTCTCTGAAGGATCCCGACAGTAATGCTTACTTGGCACTGAGAAAAAGATAACATGCCAATTTTCGAAGTGATAGAAGACGCTTTCAGATGAAGCTAGCTGTCAATTTATGGGCAAGTCCTAAACATCTGTTTAGGGCAATGACAAATAGCAAGCCTAAGAACTAGGAAGTCTGAAATCCCAAAGGTCCGAATAGTGAATGACCAACCAACCTAGAGATGGCCAAGATGTTTAAACCAACTTCACCAATCAGTTAAACCAAGTACCTACACGTTTAGAGCGCTACTCAAGCCTAGTTCCAGCTAACGTCATAAGGAATATCCGACTTACGTCTGATTTATTATTAAGAAAACTAAAATCCTTGCTCCCAAAATAAATCACCATGATGTGACAATATTCGCACCACGGTCTTGAAACAATGTGCAGAACCCCTTAGTTTACCGGTATGTGACCTATTCGGGCATTCATTGGAGTCACATTAGATCCCAGCTGAATGAAGACAGACTACCCTCTCTCCGATCTGTGAAAAAGCGACTAGGAAGGATCCAGCCTGCTACTGACCAGCTGGATTCTTATCAATACTGTTTAACGTAGTGGAAGGACTGGTGAAAGAGTACATGGGGGAGAACAACACCTTTCATGAAGCTCAACACGAGTTTAGGAAAGGCAAGTCATTTGCATTTAATCTTCGCGAAGGTTTCGGAAATGGGTTTCACTGACCCACTCCTATATTGGCTCAGAAAATACCTTGAGAATAGAAAGTCTCATACTATGGTAAATAGAGTGCACGCAAGCTGTGGAGTTTCAACATCGAGAGTTTTACAGGGGACCATCATAGGTCCACTTCTCTTACTGATATTCATTAGCGATTTTTAGACAAAGTTAGCTTGGCGGCGTTAATCTATGCAGACGATGAAAAGATCTGGAGGTCCATTAGAAGCGTAGAGGATTCGACTGAGCTTCAAAAGGAACTTACATCTACTGAGGAATGGGCAGTGAAAAGCAGTTTAAAATTAAGCCAGTCGAAATGTCACGTTATGTACATTTTGTCCTACGTGACACAAATGACGTTCACCCTGGAAGAAAATCCGCTCCGTAATGTCTCCCCAGAGCGCTATCTCGAGTAAATAACCACTGAATGCCTGACGTCAGTTCGAAGTATGTAGGAGACGCAGCCTTTTCTAATGTAACTCTTCACTTTATGCGAAGACAGCTTGTTGCCATCACTCCAGAATTATTCTTCACGTTGCTTAAGACATGTACACGCTCATACCTGGAGGTTCTAAACGTCGTCGCAAGCCGTCTCCTTAAAAGAGACAAATCTCTTGGATTGAGTGCAGAGACGAGCTACGAGATAGGTGATGCGGTTGGAGAACAAAGCTTATGAACATAGACTCCAGCACTTGGGATTATTCTCTCTCAGTCACAGGAAAATTGGAGGTGATATGACAATCTCATACAATATATTAAGCACGCCAAACCATTCTAATGCTAGCGTCTTACCGGAACATTACAGCCACGCCCCTTTAGGAAGTCCTCAAAAAATCCGTGACAAGTCAATCATCTTTCACAGAGATACAAGTAGCAATAGGTCTGAGCCTAGAACTCGCTTTATGAGTACCATTTGTTTGATGAAAAGCGTGGTATGTACTGATATGTCGAGCCCGCAAGGCTTATCCCAACCTTTGGACAAATTAACTAACGTATTCTTCCCACGTTATTTACACGTCTTCTGACCCTGTCGGTTATTGACCATAGATGTCGTTATTTAAGTGCCTATGTGCATAGCTTGATTCGCTTATCACATATCTGACTATGGACACTTGGTCATGTCTCATCACACATAGTTGTCTTGCTTGCCTCCCAAGCTTTGATTTCCAGATCTTTATTCTCATACCAGTCCGCATGAACGATTGCATAATATAAACCCATCTATTGGAATCAGTACTGGGCTTCGACTTGCCTCCGTCTAACAAACTAATTTTGATCAGGAATGACAAGGTCATACAGGTCTGGTCTTTGATTTCCAAATATTACTTACTTACGCCTGTTACCCCCAATCGAGCATAGGCCGCCCACCAGTTTTCTCCAACCAACTCTGTCCTGGGCTTCCTTCTCCAGTTCTGTCCAATGTTTGTTCATTCCTCTCATATCTTTCTCTATTTCTCGGTGTGATGTGTTCCTTGGCCTTCCTCTTTTCCTTTTACCTTGAGGGTTCCATGTGAGGGCTTGTCTCGTGACGCAGTTCGGTGCTTTCCGCAATGCGTCCTATCCACTTCCACCGCTTCTTCCTGATTTCCTCCTCCACTGGAATCTGGTTTGTTTTCTCCCACAGTACGTTGTTGCTGATGGTGTCTGGCCAACGAATACGAAGTATTTTGCGTAGACAACTGTTCATAAACACTTGTATCTTCTGGATGATGGCTTTCGTAGTTCTCCATGTTTCCGCTCCATACAGTAGAACTGTCTTGACATTTGTATTGAAAATCATGATTTTGGTTTTGAATGAAAGTTGTTTGGAGTTTCAGATATTTTTCAACTGTAGAAATGCAGCCCTTGCTTTGCCAATCCGCGTCCTCACATCTGCATCGGATCCACCTTGGTTGTCGAAGAT